GGATTGTTTGCATAAGTTCGCAGCACAGCATACAGACGGGAACGACGAAGCAGTTCGAAACGACACCGAACAGCAAGTCCGCCTCAGGGCACAGCATGTAGACGGAGAAGACGCAGAAACGCGCGACGGCACCAAACTGGAAGTCCGCCTCATAGAACAGTATGTAGACCGAGGAACGAAGCAGTGCGCGACGCCACCAAACAACAAGTCCGCCTCATAGCACAGCATGTAGACGGAGAAGACGAAAGAAGTGCACGACGGCACCAAACAGGAAGTCCGCCGCATAGCACAGTATGCAGACGGAGACGACAGAGAAGTACACGATGGCATAGAACAGGAAGTTCGCCTCATAGCACAGCATGTAGACGAAGACAACAAAGAAGTGCACGACGGCACAGAACACAGTGCACGGACCATGAGAAGACCTGCACGCCCCAGGAACGGTCCCGAGGCTCCGCTACCAATGTGAAACTAGAAGTCACGGCAGCTCTTTTCTTGCGTTATCGGACTTGAGCCAACGACAGGTGCGTGTTATCCGTGCGCTACGGCCATGCTTGGCCATGTCGTCACTTTGGGATTCACAATTGTCCCTAAGCTCTTTCACTAACTCTGGGTCCATATCTCCCCCAGAAGGTGGCTCATCATCTTCGGTTTTGGCTAAGGAGGGTGGGGTTCGAAGGCCTGTTAAGGAGGATGCCATCGAGATTTGGGAAGGTTGCCTTTGCTGGTGGCCTACGAGGAGGCTGTCATACATGACTTTGGTGATATGCTGTTGATCGTGCGAGGAGCATAACATGTAGATCTCGCTCTCGAAAGCTCTCAAGTACAGGCCGGGGCCAATGATATGCTCTTGGAGGAGTACTGGGTCCGGGGAGGCTTGGGCTGCTTCTACTGCCGCCGGTGGTTGCGATATCCCAGGAGGAGAACCAGTAGTGTCAGTCGGCGCCGAAGGGGCCATGGCTGAAGGCGCCACTGTCATGGCTAACGTAAGTACTTCCTAACTTAAGTAAAAAGTAGCAAGTAAAGCTGCGTTACCCCTAGGGCTGTCAAGGATCAAAAACCGCAAAGCGCCTAGCGCCGCAGAATGTGTGTGCCTGAACGGCGTGCTGCTGTGTAACCCCTAGGGTTGTGTAGTGTCACACGCAATGTGCAAGGAAGTTGATTGCGCAGAGCGCGGTTGGCTCGCTAAGCCTAGGAACGTTCGTTACGAATGGGCGGAAGGCTCGGGCGGGAAGCAACACACGCCCACGCACAGACGCTGTCTTTTTCCAAACCCTTGCCGACAGTCCGGAGGTCGGAAACCTAACGCGGCAGAGATGGAACGGAGTGTCGCGCAGTCTTGGATTTCTCGGGCGCGCTAGCTGAAGGTGCGAGTTTGTGACCGACGGAGCGGCGTTCTGGGGCGGCTCGAGGAGTGATATACGCCTTGCGTTTTATTGCGCACAAATTGGCTTGGGCAGCATTCGGTGAAACCCTTCGTGGCCCAGTGGTCACAGCTTGGCTGTCGGCGCGGAAGTGGCACCGACGCGCTCCGACCGAGGCTGTGCCCCTTCCCCTTCTTGCTTCCCTACCTGGGGTTCACCCGCAGCCGTGCCGAGCTCTGTCTTTTCTTCCTGTGGCTCCGGTCGGACTGTTCCGTTTAGTCTTACATTCCCACGTGGGAGTTGGTTATCCAGTGGGCTCTCCTGTGCATGTTGCACCGTCTGCTCAGGGAAGGGCATCTGGCTTGCCATGCCGTCTTCCGCACCCTCCGCTTCCGAATCGGCGTCTTGGAGGGGCCTCACCATGGCAGGTGGTATTTGCCAGGTGTTGAGTCCTTCTATCCGCCACCAGAAGCGCTTCTGCATGTCCGTCCATGTTGATCACGTACCGGCAATTTCCAAAGATGTTGCAGATGGTCCTAGCCGGTCCTAGCCGTGGCTCCGACCCTTTGGCATTTGGTGTTAAACCTTCCGAGTGATTTGTTGTGGACTGGTCTCGCCCGTCCGAGCTGCAGTTGTCCCCGTCATCAGCTGCCTTTGAAGGCTACCTTGCCTCTTGGTCTTGCCATCTGCGCCGTTGCTTGATCTTACTTTTGGGCGGTTCCCCTGTCGGGTCAAGCAGTTGCGGCTCGACTCATCCGATCGCCACAACAGGTTCCGACTCAGCTTTCAGCTGCTGTCCGGTTCACCGGCCTGAATCCCAGGAGCTCTACACCAAAAAAAAGGCCAGCGACACCGGCCGCTTAAGTGCTTCTTCAGCGTGCTCGGCGCACGGTCTTTGAAGAGAAGAACCTTCCCGTCCGGAGTGAGGCCACCCAAGGACTGCATCATGGAGCTGTCGTCCCGGACGGCGGCGGCAACGTCAATCACAGACAAAGCTAAGCCAGCTAAGCCTTGCCGTTGTGCTTCCTCCCTCGCTGCCATGCTTCCTGAAGCAGGCTGAGTCATGCGAAATGCTCTAGCTGCCGTACGCGTGTCACCAGACTGCAGACAAAATTTGGGCTTCAAACCTTCAGAACCAACGGACACAGAAGTCACAGGTGTCGGCGAGAGGGCGAACACCGGCAGCGCAGGCAGCCCGCCAATGGACCTCACCAGGCCGCGGGCGATCCGCGGTGCCGCGCCAGCTGGCACCGTAGCAGCAGCACCCACTGCAATAGGGCGCGGCCGATCGCCTCCTCCGGATTGCGAGGAATACGGCGAAGGCACCTCCAACACCAGGCTGCCCCGCTGCATGCCGCGCAAACACAAGTACAAGGAGAACAGCACAAGTCAAGCGACTGCCAGGTATGCCGAAACCTTCTGGCACTCTTACAAAGTACCTGAACAACAACTGAACAACAAGCAGTGGCAGCGATACCTGAAAAGCAACGGCACGCAAGCCGCAAACTGTAGGACCTCTCCTGTTTAAGGTTTAAGGGTTCGCCGTATGCGTCGGCCATTAGCCCCGCCTACCCCCATGCAATCGATCCCAGATTCGGATGCGCGCTTGCGCAGCGGATTCCAAGCGGCGTCACCCGAATCGCGGTTGTTCCGAACCAGGGACGAGAATTCAAAGGACAGGCCGTGGCACAAGACTGTTTTGTGCGAAACAACAACATCGCTCTACCAAAGCTTAGTCTTCGACGACGAGGCGGGAGAGGCAGATGCAACCGGCACGCCACGGGATGCTGCCAACGCACGGGGGCGAGCCAAAGTCAAAGCTTCCCGCAAGATGCGGCGCAAAGCAGAAACCGCCAGAGTGAACAATGACTTGACATCACCGTCTGTCAAGAACAAAGCTTCTCCGCCTTCTCCTGCTCAGCATCGGACGGGTCAGCAAACCGCAAAGGCAATGGAGCCCGGGGTTGAGAACCTGGCGGCCCGCACCGTGTGAGGTCGGACGGGGCTGCTATAGACACCAAAACTGCCTCAAGCGCAGCCGGGTCATCCAGACGCGACGGCGAGCACATGATGATGCAAGAGCGAGCAGAGGGTTCGAACTCAGTTAAATGAAAATGGCTGCGGAAGGTGAGCGTGCCGAAGGCACAACCGACTGCACATGCAAATAACCTTCTTCTCATACGCGGACGGAAAATGACATCAGTGCCCTGCGCGGTGGCTGTGGTGGCATGCGTGATTCCGGTGACCATACAAGGCCCGACGGCCCGACCGCACAAGTTGGGGTTTGCGCACGGACGTGACACAGCCGCAGCTGCAGGTCACCTGCGGGCGGAAAAGCGCCATTGTTAGACCCCACTTGCGGAAGGCGAGCATCTTGGGAACTTGCCGAAGTGAGCAAGGCCACGGTTCTCCCCATGTCGATGTACAAGGACCATTTGCGATTGGCCGGATGAAGAAACGAGAGCGCGTTGACATGCGTTGACCATGGCATCATCAGGGCCGGCGTCCCAATCGAGACCCGGCGCTCGACCGCATTCGGGCAGGACGCCGGTCAGCGCCGTGGCACGTTGCGCTGCCGCCGACAGGCGTGGACGGGCAAAGCAGCCACCGGTGGCTTTGGGACTGGTGGCTGAAAGCTCTTGCGCGACTACAACTGGCAGACATGACATGCTGACATGCCGACCGTTCAGAGAAACGCACATGCGAAGCCACATGACCAAGGCTGTTGCAGTCATGAACACACATTCAGTTGCAAGCAAGAAGCCTTCGAAATGCACATGCAGAGCTATATGACCAATGCTCTCAAGATCACACACTCGGGGCAAGCAATGAACATTCGAGCACGCCACGTTCACACGGCGACTGGCTCCCCGGCCTGTGACATCTCTACTGCGAACCAGCACATCGGTCAAAACATTCTGGCAACGGCCACTGGCACCAGAATCTTGCCATCTATCAGCGAATTTAACGCGGGGACATCGCAGATCTTCGGACTAAAAACTTAGATATACAACACAATGCAGTGCCGTGGTCGTCACGTCGTCGACGCATGGATCGGAAGTCCAAAAAATGAATGTCTGGCGTGTAACAGCAGCTTGGTCCTGTCTGGGCTTGGTTTGCTCGGCACAATATTGCGGCTTTTGCAGATTGTGATTCATGATGATTCACGTCGCGCTAAAATACATATAAATATTCCCTTGCCAACCAAACGACGTATGACAAATCGGATATGCCGTCAACATCGTCAACATGAACTCAAGGTGCACCCAGGCATTTCAACATGGAATGACTGACGCGCCGGAAATCATAGCTACAGTTGCCGTTCTCAACAAGAACAAACAAAAACACGGACCCTGAAAAAGTTAGTAACAAAATCTGCAACACCTGGTTTTTAGACGAAAGGCTCCCGGCTGATACACAACCGATCCCATCAACATCTAAGATGAAGCAGCATCTGGCACACGACTTTGCGGTGATTGAGGTTTCCATCACGATCGCGACCCTCTCCCCACAGGCACCCGGCATTGGTGTGATTTGTTCCAGGTCGAACCTATGTGCCTCGGATCCTAATTGTCGATCGTCTGCAATTCTGACCCAAAAAGAGGACAAACAACAAAGGTGACAGAAAGCCAAGGCCTGCACTATCAGTGCTGGTGCAACCAGCTCCAGGCTGTCCCGGAACCTCCAGGGCTGTTCAAGGACTGCCACTAGGCCTAGCGGTAGGCTGACTTCGGCAGCAAACTTCGCACCTGCCAAGCTTCAGATAAAGGTTGGCGAGTGTGCAAGCCTTGGGAGTCCACAAACACAGCGTTCTCGTATACATCTGGTACTTCACGACGAACAAATGATTTCTTCCCTCCAAAACTGAATCGGACCACGGTGCCGAGACGAGAGTTCGCGGATGCTGCCTGCCACATGCCTTCGCAATCATCCGAAACGCAATGCCGGGAAAACAGCCCCACTAAGTATCCTCATGTCGGCGGCAATCTGATATCGCATAGATCCAGCCTTCCCCAAGGACTCCAAGGTTTTTGAGAGGAGGGCCGATGCTTGTCGGTAAGATCCCTGCAAAGCTGCTCTCATCTGCTCTCTGGTCTCTGCCACTGGGTGTGACGGAAACGAATCTGCAGCAGGCCACATGCTTCTGATCTTGCAGTACATGGCCCGAGTTTGGAGGTTGGACAGTGGGCTGCTAGCGGAAAGCATCGGGCAGTAGCCGGTAAGCTGCCATAGCTGCCTTCTCACGAAGGATGCTGCAAAGGTTGTGAGCCGTGCAGAGAGTTCTAGGATGATGTGGGCCAAGCACCTGAAGGGCAAGGAAATCAAGACGAAAGCCACCAAAGACCCGTCATGGTAGCTCCTTTCACACTTCTCGGCCGGCTGCTACTGCAGAGAAGCTCGCGGGAATGTAAGCTAGGTTGAGGCAACCATGGTGACCTCCTCCTCCTCTGAATGTGCCTCACGGGCCATTCGCTCAGCCTGGCTCAGAAGTGACGGCACCAGAAGGCTGACTCCAACTTGGCCTCGCCTCCTCAAGAAAGCCCTGCCTCGGATGGCCACACTTCCCGGCGAGTACAACGTCATGCTGCAAGGTCGCTAGATGCCATGTCTCAGAAGCAAGGCACCTTTTCGACTCAGCGCCTGAGAGCCTCCGTCTCTGCTCCGGGGGTCTTGCAGCACTGAGCTTTACTTGCAAGGGAGTCTAATCTACTCTCTCCATGAGATCAATCTTTTCAGACAGCTGACCTGTGAGACCAGCTGCTGACGCACAAGAATAGGAGCCTTGGTTACAGATGCGCACTGCAAGACTCGCTGCAGAAGCTGCTCCAACATTGCATTCTTGCACTAATTAATTCGTCCAGCAGCTTGACGACAGCAGTAGCAAGTCCTGACACTTGTTGCTGAGACATGAGCACGAGAGCTCCTAAATCCAGCACTCCTTCCCCAGGCTGGGAAGTTGCAAATAGTCGACCAGATCCACTGGGCAGTGATGTGTTGCGGGCTCAGTGCCGTCGAGGTCCTCACATCAAGCGCTGTTTCTAGTGCCTTCTTTGCAAGAAACTGACCCACACATGTACACACAATGCATCGCTCATGCATGTCATGCCCTTCAATCCTTCCAGGTGCACTCAGCTATCTTCCCATCCTGCTCCAGGCATGTCCAGGCTATGCCAGGGCTGGGCTCTGCAGTGACAGCACTCCCGCATCCAACAGAGTCTAACAGAAGACAAAGACTTCGTAATAAAAAAACGCAATTCAATGCAGGCTTTTGGCGGGTCTTGCAACAAAAGCGCACTGGCTACACCGGACACTGTTCCAACATGCGACCGCTCTCCAAAATCCATTGATTAGACTCATTAGATCGAAACCTGAAGCTTACAAAACACTGTGATACAGGATGCCTCATGCTCCGCTCACAAGTGAATGCACCGGTCCGGTCCTATGTGCACTTTACAATGCGCACTGCACTTCCACACCTCCAGGCCTGCAGCGTGTGAAACCACGAGTGAAATCGCGTCATCAGCATGGAAAACTCCTCAGCCATATCACGTTGGAGAAGCAAGGGCGTTTTGTACTGCTTGTGAGCTCGAGCTCAGCGCTGTGTGCGGCTGGCGACGCACCAGCAGCAACGTGTGCTGATTGCGGCAGTACCGAAATAGAGGGCACACATACAAAGCAAACGGCCGCCGTCGCACGTTATTTGCAAAGCTGGGCATCCTTCGTGCTCAGCTTCGAATCTCCGTCTACCTCACTTGAGCTATGAGCACACGCTTCTATATGCGTGCCTTTCCGTGAGGACAGCAGTCCTGCACTCTCTGCAAGTCGTGCATCTGCAGCGAGCTGTGCGATGCCTCCACCTCCTCTGCTTGCGGCCAGGACGCGTCGGCACTTGCATGTGCATGGTGAATGCTGTCGGCAGTAGCATTGGACCCGATGTTCGTCAAACCCTGCCTCAGTACGACACTGACAGAGGTCAGCAAAGATCCAACAATGGGTCGACGATCGGTGAAATAGACTGTCCGTGCACTGTGCTTCCAACACTTATCACGCCAAATTCTGTTACTGTGTTAAGGTACATCATAGAATATTATACATATACATATACATATACATATACATATGAATATACATACACATATACATATACACATACATATACACATACATATATACACATATATATATATATATATTGTCTGGGCACTCCTCGGTTACGCCGCAAACACATGGGACATGAACACCTGCCACATCTGTCAGTAACACGGGAAAACGCAATTTGTGAGCATTAAGTCACTGCTGTTTCGAAAACTAGGACTTGGAAATGCCAGAGAGGACCCGTTCCAGAACCTCGATGTGGTGGCCTACTTATGAATTCGCTTGACATTCTCCGAGGTTTGCCCAACATCAAACCCGAGCAGCCAGCTCACACTGCTCCTGCCAAGCAGCCGCAACTCGTCTTCGTCCACTCCGCCATCACCGTCGACGTCGAATCTAGCAGGGCCCGCCTGAAATCCCAACAATCGAACGCACTCGCAGTATACCACAGTTGGACACGATCGAAACTGACTGCGCCTGGTTAGAGCCCAGTTTGCAACAGCACCGCCCAAGGTTGCCGTGTCTTATGGACACCTGAAACAAAAGGCTGAACACAGCTGAAATCTTTCACTGATTGCAGTCACGGTGGTTGGTCTGGTTCTGCCTCCTGCTGAAGTTCTCCTGCAACCAAATCCTGGCAACCACTGCGGACCACAAGTGAATATGGCCGCTGCCACTTGAAAGCTGCAAGGGGTCCTTCACGTGTTTCGCAAAGTCGGTGCGAAGCGCGGCAAGGTCCGATTGCATGGCATTGCTCGCCGAAGCAAAGTTGATCTCAGGACTCACAAGCAAAAGCATGCCAGCAAAACTGTGAAACTATGTACCGGTGCATTAACTGCCTGCTCCTCGTTGGCAACTGCACCTTGCCAGGCTTGCTCGCTCGCACAAAGCAAGTGAGCAACATCGAGGCTCCCTTCACTCGACTCGGCGACTCGGTCCGGTTGGGCGCAAAACGGACCAACTGCGAGTAGCAGTCCACCGCTGAGTAGTGAGAGGCAAAAGTGTCTTCTCGCTTGGTGTGAATCCGGTTTTATGGACTGGCGTGTCATAGTCATGGCCTGTCAGTTCGAAACAACTGACCATGACCGACCTGCTAGCAGCGATAGCCTCTCTGGACATTCTGACTTGCACGTCCTGCAAAAGCGACACCGAGTAAGAACACCGTGTATCAAGTCCTTCCTGCGTGCACACTGCTCCCGTTGGTGCGTGCTGCACGTTTTGATAAGAGCCATAAGATAGGCAAACACCTAATTTTTTCTTCTGTACTTGAGCCGAACCATCTCGAAACTTCGCGGAATTGACCTCTTCATATAACATTCTCCCCCGGAAGGTTTGTGCATTTGAAGCTGGAGGTTCCTGCAAGATTTCCAGACCATACTGACAATTATGCAGCCAGCTTGTCTCTTGAGAAGCTGGTTTCAAAGATGCAAGTGCAACACATGACAGAGTGCTGCTTCCCGTGAAAATGCAAACGCATTGGAGACAGATACCCTACAGCACACACGTGCATGCAAAATCCTGAAAGAAGCCGAAGGACTCAGATGCTTCAGCACCGACTCCCGGGCATCTGCCAGTTGGTCACGGAGCAGAGACAAAGCCTGTCACAGGCAACGTGAATGCTGCGATTGAATGGAAGACATCTGGGGCAGTTCATCCCATCAGAACTGATGGCTGCAGAAGCACCTGCGAAATGTCTTGGTTGGTTGCAATCGACATGGATCCCCGATCATGATCCATGCCAGCACCACTCCTCAGAAGAGGTCGCAGCTCCACTCTCCCTCAATCTGTTGGATCGTGACGTGAATCACCGAATTTCAGAATTGATCACTAAGTTGCAGATCCACATGGCCACATGCGATCTGGCAGGGCAGCAAGGTCCCAGGCATTTTCTGCATCACTTTTGCCAACTCTTGCTAATGTTGGCCCGGCCTTTGCCAGCACAGCAACGAACTTCAAAGCCCCATCAGCACGCCTGGGACACAGCGCTCCGGTGTTCCACCCAAAAGCGGTTCAGACTCAGACCTAAGCTGGCTTGCTTAGGTGCTGCCACACAACATGCGGGAGACTGGCAGGAAGTCAAGGATTCTAGCAGCCGACGGATGTAGCTTGAGCCAGATGGCATCACAGAAGGCAGAGTTTGATCTGCCAGCTCAGCACTTACAGTTTTCTAGGACACGCTGCCAGTGTATTGCGGCGAAGGGCCATCTTCTGCAGCCGTGGTGCTGCTCCAGGGTCGATGCTAAAGCGCTCTTTACGGTCATCGTGTCTGGATGTCGTGGGCCCATGCATCTGGTCAAGACCTCCGATTCATGGCAGCATCACACATGTTGCAACGTGCTTCTCCCCTCTCTGCCACGTCCTCAAGGGTCTCACGCTGCAGTGCGCCAGCCTGTGCAGCAGTCTGGGACTCTCTGATCTCGCTGCAAGACTTCGAGTGCGATCGGGCGGAGTTTAGATCGGAGAGGCAACAGTACCAAAGCTGAAGTCAATGGCATGTCCAGCCCTGAGCAACGAAGGCAAAGAAGCACCAATGCTGGTTTCGAAGATTCTGCGGTGCCTCTTCGTAACATCCTTTGTGCTGGAGCATCCCGGCCTTGACATGAACAACACGAGAGGTGCGCACCCAGGTCCTGTTCTTACAGTCCCCTCGTAGGCTGGCAGAAATGGGGCACCAGTCATGCAATTGTTCTCTTCTCCAAGCAAGGCGCCAGGTTGTGAGCTGCGACCAACGTCTCCAAGTTCTCCATGCCAAGTGTCCTTCGTCGAATCTCCAGCGTCTCCTGTCCAAAAACATTCACGCACAATGTGAAACCATATGCACTGGGAATCAGCAACCACCAATCAATGAACCGATCGAGCAACGTGTCCTAGACGATCCAGAACTGATGAATTTGAGGACTGTGCATATACATATATACGTGAACAAATATAAAACAGATAAAGCATAGATATGTACATATGTATAGATATATATATATATGTGTGTGTGTGTGTTCATATGCATATGCACACATATTATAGCATCATACAGTGCCCTAGGTTGAATCCATTTCATTATTCTCTAGACTCTAAACTCATGTTGAGTATCCGTGCACATCATAGTACTATATGACATTACATCCGGCCCATTACACCACATCATGTTATGATACATATGTCTGCATTTACGATGATCAAGTGTCACTGCGGGCATATGGGCTGGCGAGCAAATTTATCTGTGGCCAGATGTAGACAGTGAAGCGAGACCGCCGGCAGGGTGTCTACATCACATATAGTTACGCGAGCCAGCGGTCCTTCAGCAGTATGTCTCTATGTCACTATGCCGCCTGAAGTCATTCGTCTCCTTCTGGTATTCGATGGCCTCCGCGTGCTTGCCCTGCTTGTGCAAACAGTATAATCATGAATCGCACGCATGGGCTCATGGGCTCACTGGCTGCTTCTGATGCCTGCAAGTGAAGAGCCGCCGCCAAGCTGTTGACAGTGCAAAGCACGTCAGGATGCTGTGGCCCTAGCAATCGCTGCTGCACATCCAGAGTCTGCTTGGCAACCTCCCAGAAGAGCAGAGAGGAACAAGTCAGCAGATGGGAAGCCCACAATCTTTCTGCCTGTGCGGATTCTTCATACCTGCCGTCCTCTTGGAGCAGAACGGCCAGGTTGCTGGCAGCCACCAGGGTGTCGGGATGCTTCTCGCAGGGAGACAACAGGAAGACATGTCCGCGTCTGTTCCAGGTGCAGTCGGCATCAAGAGTTGACAGACAGGGGTCCTCGCCCGCAAGCTTCCTCATCAATCTTAGTGATTTTCGAGAAAGTGAAGCGGCTTCTTCACGCTTGCCTTGCAACGCAAGGCACCCAGGAGACTACGAGCATGTTCAATGCCAGACTCGTTAACAGCAACTTAATAATGGAAAGGCTGTGACTTTTTACAAGCTTGGTCACCCATCATACTGAGCGAGCATGCCAGGTTGTTTGATGAATTGATGGCATCAGGATGACTGCTCCCCAGCACTCGACGCTGTACTGAAAGTGCCTGCCGCTGCAACTGCACGGCATCTTGATATCGGCCCATCTCTCGCAATGAGCTGGCGAAAACAGTGACAATTCGCAGAGCCCGAGGGTGATGAAGCTTGCCCCGTTTCCTGAAGCTAGCCGTGGATTGTTCAGCCCGTTGGGCAACCTGCTCATGCTTCCCAACTTCATGCAGCGTGCATATGAGGTTTTCAACGGCCCAATCCCGCACCCACAAGTAGCTGGACCTCTGCAGCGGCCTCCACCTAACCCTGGAATGTAAAGCCTGAGCCAAGGAAAGGCGGGCTGCTCCAACATAGTCCTGACCGCAGATCGAACAAGTTCTCCAGAATGTCAGATTTGGCCATCGGCTGGCTGCCCAGTGCACCAAGCACCGAGCATGTGCCAACCCAGCAGATCCCCGACAAGCACAGACTTGCCCATGAATCAGCCCGCTTCCATCAAAGCAAATGCGACAAACCAATGTATCTTCAGCATACACCTTGCCACACATCTGGTATGTTACACCGCCTGGCCGCCGTCAAGAACATCTCCATGGCTTCCACGATTGAACTTTGGTTCTGATGAATTCTGGCATGTCCTGTTCGTGTCCTTCGGCTTCGAATCTCGAGCCTTGCAGCCAGACTCCGGCTGCCGAAAAGAACACTGTGCGCGCTCACGTGAAAAACCCCAACTGTGATCAAATGAAGCAACGTGCCTCGACCTGAAATCACTCCGTGTCTAAGCACGGCCCCAAAAGCTCAAGGCAGCAGCAGTACTACCCTCACTTACATGCACAGCGCACTTCTTTGCATTGATCCGCTGCCGAATGTCGGCCATTGCATCCTTGAGAACAATGTCCTCAGCACAATCCAACCGAACAGCTCTGATGCGCTTACCCAAAAACTAAATTAATTGCAATACTCACGCAAGTTCATACCACAAGTGGGAACGAGTCTGACATCAACTTGACATGAGCATCAGGCTGAAGATGAGAAGTCTTCCAAAACCTTCGAGCTCAGACGATTAGGCCAAGGACCATCGTCATGCAAGTAGAAAATGCAAACCATTGACAATGTGCATGCACTGCCATGCACAAGTGGTAACTGAAAGCCTTAACTGCATCAAGGAAGTCAGCGTGGAATTCGCTCGCCAAGTCCTCTGAGCGATAAACTTCCTAATCCAACATGTCAACGATGCATCACAGCATTGCGTGCTGTGTGTCCTCCATCTGGACGGCTCCAGCACCATTGGTCAATGCACAATGCTAGTGATGCAAAACATCTTAAAAAATGCAAATCAGTCCACGACGTGATCATCGGTCCAAATGATGTGTACTACATGTTGGCGCAAAATTACTGATTCAATCTTGCGCTGCTGGGCTTGTCACTTGTTGGGTACAGTCAACCATGCATGGGAATCGTCACGTAGACAGCAGCTGCCATGGCATTACCTCTGCAAGCCTTGTTGTGCACGCACACTGTGAATCACAATGGCTCCGAAATGCCTTCACGCTCTCTCATCTCCGCAGCGTACGAACTTCTTGGACCAGCTTGGATGGTTTACATTGCCCAGTTCTGCCAAGCGAGTTGGAACTCAGCTCCAAAAACAGTCCAAAGCCTGCAAATTGCATCTCCAATCCAGTCCAGATGCTTGAAACCGCGCCACAGTGATAAATGTGCTTTGTTTGCTGCAATGCACTCTATGCTTCCTTCTGACCTGTGCTGCAATGCGCCAATTCCAGAGTATGACACTTCAAGGTTCGAAAAACTTCCAGCAGTGCTGCACTGACTCAAGAAGCACTCTAAAATTTGAAATGCTTAGCTACCGTTTCTTACATGGTCGCTTACAAATGGTCTTTCCATCAGTTGCCAACACGGTTTTCAACATTTGCACGTTTTTGCCAGAACAACTGTTCTCGTTTATTATCACCAGTGTCACTTTCATCACAAACAAAACAACTGGCAAACTTTGAAAAAAATCGAACAGTTTTGGAAAGTCAATTGGACAGTTTTCATCATCACACAACGGCAGGACAGAATGTAGACTTCCGCAAACCCTTGTTGTGGTTCGCACTGTCAATTTCCACTGTCATGAACTTGCAAGCAACAGTTTATGGATGGGAGACGGGAGGCTGGTCCCCCCCCCCGGGGTTTAACCCAGGTTCGAACCTGGGTTCGGCCCCCTCCCAGGGAGGGAGACAAACAACAACAACAACCCAAAAAACCCAGGTTTGCAACCTGGGTTTAACCTGGGTTTGAACCTGGGTTTTAACCTGGGTTAAACCTGGGTTCGAATTTTTTTCCGAGGGGAGCAAAAGGTAAAAGCTTGGCTCCAAGCCGGTCTGCAAAAGGGTTTACGCCGTAGCAACCTTTCAAAACTACAACAGAGGTGTGACCTTACTCTCTTGCCGAAGCAAGGGGGTTCCCTCCGGAGTCTAAGGAGTAAGCTACAGCAGAGGTGCGACCTTCTCTCTTGGCGTACCAAAGGGGCGTGGCCAGGGGGTTCCCTCCAACTGTAGCTGAGGATGAAACCTCAAAGCTCCTCTCAGTACTCGCCCAAGTCGATCTTCGGCACTGGCCTGAGTGTCCATTCCACTCCTTCCGACCCGATCACCCCAGAAGGGTGGAGGGAGCATAGCCGCCCCATAGGGTCCTCAGCCAGCACGTATTGGTTGATCAGCTGGCAGACGGCTTCCCAGGCCGTGTGCTCCTCCTCCATACTTTGGAACCTTGCCACAGCCCATCCGAGCAGCTTCTCTGGGCTCCTATTACAGGAGGCCCAGACATCGGCGAAGCGCTGGGCTTCCTCCTGTCCAGCATCACACTGGACCATCTAGAAGAAGGTAGTGGGCCTTGCTCAAAGTGGGGCGATCGACCCATTTGTAGTCGTTGAGATCGCAAGGGAGGTACTGCCTCCCTGGTCCATCCTCGCGATAGCCCCATTGCCCATGCCCTACCTCTCCCCGAAAGGGAGGAGGGCCAGGGTTGCCAGTGTGGCCACCATCTGCAGGAGCTCCGACAGGGGCAAGGGGTGCTCGAGGCCCCTCAGCCTTTCCACACCATGGCATAGAGGCGAGACCCTCCTGCCGGTTCCAGCAACCTGGGTTCGAACCTGGGTTCCACCCCGGGTTCAACCCAGGTTTAAACCCAGGTTATAACCCAGGTTTGAACCCAGGTTTGAAACCCAGGTTCTAACCCAGGTTTGGAACCCGGGTTTACGAACCCAAGCAAAACCCAGGTTGAAACCCAAGTTGAAACCCAGGTTCTAACCCAGGTCCAGGTTATAACCCACGTTTGAACCTAGGTTTGAAAACCCAGGCTCTTACCCAGTTTGGAACTTGGGTTCAATGTACCCGGTTTAACCCAGGTTAAAACCCAGGTTCAAACCCAGGTTAAACCCAGGAGGGCTTCAAGGCAGAAGGAAAGGCTTAAAAAGGGGCCTGAGGAAGGGACTTGAAGGAGGACCTTCTTCGACACGAAAGGAGACGTCCGCACGAAAGCGCCAGCCCAAAGCCCCAAAAAGCGAAGAAAATAGAAGACACACAAAGGCCGCATAAAAATCGTTCAGTGGGGCCCGCTCTTAAAAGCTCAGTGGGGAGCTGCGCTTTCTACCCATGCTCTTAGACCGTCCAAGTCTCAGCGGGTGTGTGCAGGTGGGTCGCAGCCCCGAAAAAAAGTCTGCCAACTCCCCGCTTGTAAATTGCAACCGCCTTTGTCGTGAACCTTCAAGCGAAAAATGAACAAAAAGAACGTGAAAAGACGCCTTTTTCAGCATAAAAAGAGACGCCACGAAATTAAAAGCGAATAAAAATGAAAGCAACATGAAAATTCAGACACGCAAAAACCGCAAAAAATCAGCAGGGCCCCCTTGAAAGCTCAATGAGAATGATCTGCCACCTGCAAGGCGTTCCTTGGGGGCGACCTGCTTGTGCGGCTCTCGCTATCTCTCTTCCGTCAAGTCAACTAAAGTGGCACCCTTTTCATGCACCATGGTTTTGTCCCTTCTTGTGAAAATTCCCTCCGCCTTGTTTTTTTCTTCACAAAGCGATTTTTGCATTTGCATTTGGCTCAAAACAAGCCAAGAGTCTGGTTTAGGCGGCTTCAAAGGGAGAGTTGGGGCGGAACGCAGCTCCAAGAGCGCACTCAGAAAGCACAGTGATAAGTGACCAGTTCCTGCCGGTGGAGAACTCCCCCGTAAGGAAAATGTGGAGGCTTTCCATAAACCCACTCGAACGGAGAATTGGCGAGCATAGGTTTTTGGAGTGTTCCGGAACCCAGGGTTCGAACTCCCGGGGGGCCCGGGGGGGGGGGGGGAGAACATATAACTCCGGAACTCAGGGTTGAACCCTGGGTTCGAACTTCTCGAACCCAGGTTGAACCTGGAGTTTGAACTCTATGTTCAAACCCTGGGTTCGGGAACTCTATGTTCGAACCCGGGGTTCGGGAACTCTATGTTCGAACCCTGGGTTCGGGAACTCTATGTTCGAACCCGGGGTTTGGAGAACTCCACGTTCGAACCCCGGGTTCGGGAACTCCTCCCCCCTTCCCAGAGAGTCCGAACCCTGGGTTCGGAACTCTATGTTCGAACCTGGGGTTTGGGGAACTCTATACCGGAACCCCGGGTTCCGGAACCCCCCCCCGTCCCCCAGCGAGTTCGAACCCTGGGTTCGGGAACTCTATGTTGGAACCCCGGGGTTTGGGGAACTCTATGTTGGAACCTCGGGTTCTGGAATTCGTCCCCCCCCTGGGGCGTTCGAACCCTGGGTTCCGGAACTCCACGTTTGGGGGGGCTGCGCCCCCCCCCAACCCCCCCGCTGTTTTTAGAAGCTTGCCGAAAACAAAGAAAAAGACTGCCAATGACCAGTCCCTGCCACAAAAGAAGAAGAAGCCACACGAAACCGCTTTATGGGTGGTTTTTGCGAAGAAATATAAGAAAGACAAAACAAAGAAAAAGATTGTCAATGAGGAGGAGTTGAAAAAGACTGCCAAGGACCAGTCCCTGCCACAAAAGAAGAAGAAGCCACACGAAACCACTTTATGGGGGGTTTTGGCGAAGAAATAAAAGAAAGACAAAACAAAGAAAAAGATTGTCAATGACGAGGAGCCTTTCTTCTCAAGGGGGCTTCAGAAGGACATGAAGTCTCCTACGAGAATGCTAAAGGCGCGAACAAATGAACCGGGTTCTAGACTCCCCTCCAGAGTTCGAACGGGGTTCGAACACCAACAATCACCAAACAAAAGGAGAAGAAGCCACACAGAATCGCTTTGTGGGGGGTTTTGCGAATGTAATTACTGAGAGCACACTACAATGACAGAAACCACAAACTCAACTGCAAGCACAAGCAAAAGAAGAAGAAGACACACGAAATCGCTAATGGTGGTTTTTGCGAAAAAAGAAAATGAGAGAACAAGAAGCAATGATACAAGAGTTCGAACTCTGGGTTCGGAAACTCCATGTTCGAACTCTGGGTTCGGAAACTCTATGTTCGAGACCTGGGTTTCAACTCCGACT